CGGCCCCCATCAGAGGCTCGTCAGGGTCGGCGACAGTCAATAACTCCCGATCACATTAAACTAACGAGTCGGGAAAGTCACCAATGGACTCAGGAAGACCTGCCGAATCGAATGCTATGCGACATGACCTCTTTCCACCAACTTCATGACCTGGGGGTGCTGACCTGACCGTGACCTGAGGTCAACACCCTAAGTTGACCTGAACCAAACAAAAATTATATCATTTGACGCGCCTAGGCAAGGCAAACACGATGCTGCCAAAATCGCGGCCCTGCGGCCCTTTGTGGCGAAGTTATTCGCCAAACACTGAACCGTATCTCGGGGAACTTGACCTGACCTCAGAGGTCACCGGTTGACGTAGGACCTTAAAATCGGGCGTCAATCTCTGCGTCTCGTAACGGCGCACACGCTCCTTTTTTTTACCGCGACGCGCCAGCTCCACCAGGGGCGAAACGACTAATAAGCATTTCGGCAAATTGGCATTTCGGCAAAAAGGCATGTCGGCAAATGGCATTTCGACTTTTTGACACGTCGGCAAAAAGCACATCGGCAAAATGACATTCGGCGAAATGCATTCGGCAAAATGACATTCGGCAAATCGCCTTTCAGCAATTACCACCTCGGCCGGCGCGTATGTAGAAAACCAATAGGTGTTGTGTATCTGGCTTGAGGCCGAAGGCCTGCACAACCACTTAACCTAAAAATACTTGACTTATCATTGTCTGCAATCCATTCATGTGAGTATCTTCTTCCTTATCCACGGGTAGGCAAAAATCAGTAGGTCAGGTTAGGTGGGGTTTGGTTGTTTTTCTTATGCTTTGGTGACATGTAAGTGGGTTTCTTTACCTTTGAAAAGCGAGTCGGTCCTGAAGTTAATACTTACGGGTCAGGTTAGGTTAGGTTAGGTTAATTTCGGCTAATTGGCATTTCGGTAAATTTACATTTCGACTAATTGACTTTTCGGCAAATTTACATTTCGACTAATCGAAACTAATTTCGACTAATCGACGTTCCACGACAAATCGACAAATAAAAAATTAAATTTGCACCCTCATATTTTATTCTTCGTTGAAAACTGGTGGAAGGGGTTGTGATGGGCGGGGAAGCCAGCTGTGGCAAGGATTTTTTTCTTCGAACTACGGTTTCCGAGATATAGCCTCGGGCAATTCCTGGATTTCGCGCTGCAGCCCTATGTTTGTCGGCCTATAACTCAGAAACTATTGGCTTTTTATGATAAAAACTTTATATGGTTCAACTTACAATCAACCAACAAACATTTTGGCTATCTCGGATTTTCAATTTTTGAAAATTTTGATCACGTGACCTTTTGTCCTATTTTTCGAAGAGTGACCTTGATATTTTCCCCACTGAAAGTTGCAATTTTGTCTGATGACGAATAAAGCCTTATCGATTGTCATTCATATGCGATAATGAAAAAAGTGGTTATCCCCCTGCGTTGACCTCAGGTCAGATCATTTTTATGACCTGTCCATTATTACGAGCGGGAGCGACAGCGAGATCTCGAGAATAAAGCAAGATAGCGACAAGCGGTAAACGGTAAAGGGTACACACGGATAAGGTCTATAATTTTTACTGAGGTCATTTTCAGGTCAGGTCGAAGATGACGTCACAGGAGCTAAAAGGAAGTCAAAATGCGGCACTATGCATATATATGAAGGTTTTCTCAAATAACTTTCAAGGTATCCCAGCTAGGAACAAACTAATAGCACCATCGTGATCCTCTCGTCGATCCGCATCGAAACATATGTATGTTGACCTCGAAAGGTCGAAAGGTCAAAAATTGACCTTAGATCACGTGACCTAAGGTCAACTTTTGACCTTTCGACCTTTCGAGGTCAACAAACATATGTTTCGATGCGGATCGACGAGAGGATCACGATGGTGCTATTAGTTTGTTCCTAGCTGGGATACCTTGAAAGTTATTCGAGAAAAACTTCATATATATGTATAGTGCCGCTATTTTGACTTCCTTTTAGCTCCTGTGACGTCATCTTTGACCTGAGCTGAAAATGACCTCAGTAAAAATTATAGACCTTATCCGTGTGTACCCTTAACCGTTTACCGCTTGTCGCTATCTTGCTTAATTCTCGAGATCTCGCTGTCGCTCCCGCTCGTAATAATGGACAGGTCATAAAAATGACCTTACCTGAGGTCAACGCAGGGCGATAACCACTTTTTTTATTATCGCATATGAATGACAATTGATAAGGCTTTAATCGTCATCAGACAAAATTGCAACTTTCAGTGGGGAAAATATCAAGGTCACTCTTCGAGAAATAGGACAAAAGGTCACGTGATCAAAATTCTCAAAAATTGAAAATCCGAGATAGCCAAAATGTTTGTTGGTTGATTGTGAGTTAAAACATATAAAGTTTTTATCGTAAAAAGCCAATAGTTTCTGAGTTATAGGCCGCCAAACATAGGGCTGCAGCGCGAACTCCAAGAATTGCCCGAGGCTATATCTCGGAAACCGTTGTTCGAAGAAAAAAATCCTTGCAACAGCTGGCTTCCCCGCCCATCACAACCCATTAGACCAATTCTAAGCAAAAAATAAAATATGAGGGTGCAGGGCACTTGTCGATTTGTCGTGGAACGCCCCTAATTAGCATTACGGCAAATTAGCATTTCGGCGAATTGACATTTCGACTAATTGACTTTTCGGCAAATTGACATTTAGGCAAATTTACATTTCGACTAATAAGCATTTCGGCGAATTACCATTTCGGCGAATTGACATTTCGACTAATTGACTTTTCGGCAAATTGACATTTCGGCAAATTGACATTTTCGGCTTATTGCACGTCGGCAAAAAAGCATGTCGGCAAATTGCATTTCGACTTTTAGCACTTCGCCCTTTTGACACGTCGGCAAAAATACACGTCGGCAAAATGCATTCGACATATTGACATTCGGCGAATAAGCATTCGGCAAAATGCAGTTCGGCAAATTGTCCTGTAACCCGTGGACCGGCAGGGGTGGTGGCGGAGTCACCATTGACGGATGGTCTTGGTTCTGAAATTACGGTTTGGTATTGGTCGGTCGGGGCTGGGCATCGTGGCATGCCTGATGAAAAGTCAAGCATGATGCTCGATATGTGTTGTTATGACATGGGTGATATCGACGTACTACACCGTTTCGCACCTTTGTATAGGAAAAAATACGCCTGTATTGAGAAGGAAGACACGTCTACACTTAGATAGATTGAATGGTGGGAGTTGAGTGTTCCTTGTTCAAACTGTTCAAGCGACATTCCTGCAATGTATATTTTGCTCACCTGATATCTACAGTGGTGTTCGTGGCGACAGGATTGAAGGCGATAGCCCACACAGGCACACAGTGCACACCTGTAAAACTACGCCCCTGGCGTGCAGGCAGTAGTGACCTTGCCTTTCACAAACTCGCCCTTTGCACCACTTTCTGAGGCGTAACTTACTGGATAAAGTAGCCGTAGCTGCAGTGGTTTTAGTTTCCGGGCGGCATGGCAATTAAGACACACTCGAAATCCTGGACTTGTTGTGTTACAAAACAATGCTCAAGCCTCAAACACATATCAGCGTATTTATTTCGAATGTGACACAATATAGTCCATTTAACATTTATCAGGTTTGATTGGGCATAAGAAAATGTTCTGGCAAAATGAATTGCATCCACTTTGTTGCGATATAGTTTCACATTTCCCAGCTTTGCTGCTTTTCGGTGCTCTTCTTTTTGCGGTAGCCACCACGGGACAACAATGCTGCCCTGTCACAAAGGCTTTTCTGCCCCGAGCCCTCATGCTCTTAGTTTCTTTCCACGGGAGCAGCGCGATGCGCCCCGCCCATCCAGCGTCCTTGAGCTTCCGTCTGCTAGCGCCTGGACCCTGCGCCAGACCCCCCCCCCCACGATGGAGGGGGGGGGTCAGGTGCGCCGGCGGTCCTGGGGGCGATCTTGGCACGGGGCGCCGCCGCTCGCCGCAGACGTTGTGTTTGTTTGGTTGACCTGAACCAGGCTCATCAGTGCCGCAGGGGCCGGTGCGGAGACCAGGGAGGGGAGGGGAGGGTCTGCGTGGGGGAACGTGTGTGACGTGTAGGGGGGTCTGTGTTGAATAAAGATACACACGTGCCTTCCGTGCTTCCGAATTTTCTGCTACTTAGCTATGAAAATTTTGTGACCTGTCAACGTCTATTAAACCAATCTTTGCTGAATTCATTTTACAAAAAAAAAAATCAATTTAAATTGATTTTAATGATGGACGAGTATATGATTACTTGAGCATTGGGCAATGATTTTGAACTCAAACACTTCATGCGTACGTAAAGTTTTGCGCAAATTTTAGCGCAAAGTATTACCAAAGCTTATTAATCCACAAGGAGTCGCTGTCAATGCTTAGAGTTGTCTCTGCTCAAACAAGATGGTGATGCAGATATTTTAGACAACAATCAGCAGTAGCATAAAAATGAATATAAAGGCACTTTGAAGAAGTGCGCCGACCTAAGATAAACCTCAAACCGGTTAACAAGACCGGTTTCATCGTCTAGGGCTGATGCAGTCTGAACAAAAACAGAGGTCAACGATCATTGTCGTCTCGGATGAAAGCACAGGAGCAATGTCAATCTCAGCGACACAGTGACAAACAAACGAGCAAATGTTGACTGAAGAAGATCATTTATATTGATAATCTGTGACTAATGGTTAATGAACGGTGACAGGAATTGCCTCATGAATTTTGAATGCCAAAATCAACAGCCTGATTTCAACACGAATCCATTTTTTTCTTCTTCTCAAAATTGATGCATCATCACGTTATTATCGTCGAAACTTCATACCTAGGTACCTATTAGATTATGCGAATTTATTTGCAAACTGTTGCGAGTGTAATTATCTGATGTTCTTGCAACTATTTCAGCAGTGTGATGTGACAGTTACCAACTGATAGGTATCATGATCTCCGTGACTATCTTTAAGTCCATTTCCCCTATTAACACCCCTCTCCCCCACAGTGTATCGGCCTGCTCTGTCTGATCCTGGCCAGTCCAGCCTACTTCAGCGGCACCGGCTTCTTCCTGTTCGCTGTGGTCATCAGCTTTCTCTCCACCATCGTCTGGATCTTTGTGTATCTTCTGTCCATCAGAGAGGCACTGCCACAGATCCCCGTACAGTGGGTGCTCACGGTAAGGGACCACATATATCGTTGTGATGTCGCTGTTTCGATGGGTGATTCGACGATAGTTTTGGGTCGAAGGTGCGTAATGTGTAGCCCAGATACGGTTTACCTACGTTGAACTGGCTTCACGTCAGTTAGCGCACGGTGTCCTCACTGAGCTCCAGGGTCGTCCATGGACGACCTTGGTCGCTAACTTTGAGTAAGCCTTCAGCTCTTTTTGCTCTATGTGACTGTAGGTAGGTCATCTAGGATAACTGCTCAGTCCGGGGGAAACCTAGCGGTGATAACGAACCGGACTATTTATCTTTGCCTGTAACAGACCCCGATCATGGCCATGGACTCGACCGGACCGCCTCCAGGGGCGCGTCTCCCACCCGACCTTGACCCACCAGAAGGCCGCGCTCTCATCCTGATGAGCCGGCCTGATGGCACTCCACTGCGAGGGAACCCGTTCGCCATCATCAGGGAAATCCGCTCGATCTGTGACTCGGAAGTCGAAAAAACCAAACAACTCGGATCTGGCAAAATTCTCATCTCGACCTTCAACAAAGACCAAAGCTCTGCCCTTCTCTCCTGCCAAACCATGCTCGGAAAACCTGTTTCGGCTGTTCTTGCAACCAACCTGATGTCATCGCAGGGTCTCATTCACTGTCCGGACCTCAGCGACCTCTCTGACGAAGAGCTCCTCACCGAACTAGCCCCGCAGGGTGTTATCGAGGTGCAGAGGCTCAAATCCAAGGACCGAACTCCAAACCCCCTGATTCGACTTCGCTTTAAAGGACTCGATCTCCCAAGAAAGCTCCTCTGCGGGTACCTCTCCGTCCCCGTTCGACCCTGGATCCAGCTGCCAAGGCAATGCCGTAGGTGCTGGAAGCTAGGCCACTCCATGCGCTCTTGCCGACGAAAAGAGACAGTCTGCGGGCAGTGCTCTGCCAGGGACAGCCACCCCACAGGTGACTGTACCTCGGTTCCAAAGTGCCCTCTCTGCTCTGGTCCACACCCAGCATGGGACCGAAACAGCTGCCCCGTCTGGAAAACCACCAAACGAGACACTCGAGAGCGAGCGCCATTCCAACTAGAGATGCCCCAAATTTGCAATTTCATTACCCGCCCCGCCCCGCAGCTACCCCTTGCCCAACCACAACTACCCGCAAGCTGATTTTGTCTGAGCCGAACCCGCAAAAAACCCGCAATCTTAAAAACATACTTTTGCAAGAAAAAATACAGCTGAGTCTGCTAGAGCTATATAAACCTTACTTGCTTCATTGCTGTGCAGAAAAAGACAGCCAAACAAATAGTAAGGACTTGAAATTGCTATGCTAAGTCCTCAGGAAGTGCACACTGGATAGTGGAAAATGAATAATGCATCAATACATTTGAAATTCCTTTCTGAAGAGTTCAGTAAAATCTTTCTCTCACCTTACCCTTCAGCATTGGCTGAGGATCAAAATTTCACTCTGGCTCCCTCTCAATGTTAGGCCTCTGGAATGATATTGTTATCAAAATGAATGTTGATATAAAAAGATATGCGATTTCCAGTTAAAAATAAATAGTGACACAGTGAATAATGAGTATCCAGTCGATCTACACATAAAACAAATCATGCAAAATCCCAGCAAAAACCAACTATAATAACATATATGGCCTTGCAACTAACCACCAATGAACCACGCATTTCTGGAAACATGCGTCAGAAGCGTCACCAACAGCTGATGAAGGAATGTTACAGCGACTAAATTATTGCGGCCGTAGTTAGTCGAACTTGTTGCGAAAACACTGTTGTATAATGCATATTCATGTGCCATTCTGATTAAATTATTTTACACAACAGCTAAAGTTTTACAATTTAGAGGTTAATCACCGGTTTAGAAATAAAGAGACAGTAAATACTAAATTAAATGTAATGATTTTATAGATGGTCTTGGTAATGCTCTCCGGCTGGTCATCTGTCGGCATACAAATGATAAGGACGTAAAAAGACAAAAGAAATAAATGCGACCAGCTACGTGGTTTTGTAACATGTATAACTGCTATTTTGAGGCATTCAAAAACCAAGACAGAAAAACTGATTGAAAATTATTGCGTCATCAATGACAGCTTTCCTTCACCTCAGAGACCAAAATTGACGCAGTCAAATGCCCATCCTTGTCAGAATGTCGGAAGTGCGCCAGTATTGTATTGCGATATGTTTGGGCCGGCCAGTCTATATTTTGATTTTTTGTAAGGGTGATTGGTGTGTTATTTTCGTAATATAGGGTGGAACAGAACATAGAGTAGGATAGGTAATCAATGAATTTGCATCAAATTTTGTTTAGCTGATAGCTCTTTTTTATGCCGACCAGACGCAAATAAAGTAACATGTGGCATTTGCTCTGATTTTCAACATCTCATTTAAGTCTGGGTTCTTCCATAATGTATATCTAGTGCACACTGCACAGTGCACATAGACTTCAGTTCAGCTTCCTATAAGTTTGCTTTCAGGGTCTTTTATGTTTTATGGAATGCTTTCATCAGCATTTATTTATGCTTAGTAGTTTATTGCTTGTACCCTGGTTTGGTCATTGCCAGACTGTGGATGCTATTGCTGGTTGTTTTCAGTTTTGCATTTGAAATGTGCTTCCTTGATATATTTTTATATTTGGTTCTGTTTTAAAAGTTGTTTTGATGAATGTTGTATTGTTAACCTGAGCAAATGCACTTGGCATTGTGTTTTGCATCTAAAAAAAAAAAATAAAAAAATTATAGGTTCTTAAGTCTGACCGCCAAATACCCGCCACACGACAAGTTTTGCTTCTCAAACCCGCCAAAAACCCTGCGGGTTTTGAAAACCCGCAGAAAGCGGGTTCGCGGGTTCAAAAAGGGCATCTCTAATTCCAACCCCCGCCGCTCAACTCCACAGCTTGGCCTCCACTTGAGAGTCAGCACCGAACGATGCAGCCCCCTCCGGCTCGCACAGACGCCTCTGTCCAGACAGATGGTGAGGTCATGGCCCCTAAGGCGACCGCAGTCCCTGTTCAGACCCAGACCGAGACAGCCAGCTCTCAGACGACCGACGCCAGCACCCAAACGACCAAACTGACCACCTTCGACTCGACCTCTCAAACTCGACCCGCCCGACTGGTCTCTGCCGAAGTCCAGACTGACACCCCCGACTCACCGACACCAACCACGGACCCCGACGACTTCGGCTGCTCTCGAAGCAGGCCGTTCACCCGAGGCTACACGGCGAGCTTCCAGCCTGACAGCCCCCGAAACGACACCGACGATCCCGATCCAGACCTGATCCCGAAGAGACGTCCCAGGGGTGAGATCCCTCCACCTGACATCGGGTCGCTGAAGTTTGAGTACGCCAGCGGCAGGCGACTTTCCTACCCTCCCTCCACCCTCTACTGGTTTGACCATGAAATCCGACTATACGACCTTGACCTTCGCCCAGAATCCAAAGCGTACAGGGCAGCCGTGGCTGGCTTCTATTTTGACGGACCCCCTCACCACGGACGCCGTATCTTCCTTCAGAGAATTCCTCCAACGGGTAACCACTAGCCCTACCAACATCGCTGCCTAGGAGTCGAGCTATGCCTCACGGCTACTCCTCCAGAGCCACCAAATTCCAGTCAAAGTTGTACCCCTGAGACGGGCGGGACATGACTGGGGCACCCGGGTCACACCGGCTGCCATAACCCGCTGGCTGTCTCACTCGGTAGGCCGGTTTTTATTTTGGCCGATCCCTGCGAACAGCCTGCGCAATTACACTTTCACTGTCCACATTAGAGATATAACGTAACGTAACTATTGCGGGGATTTTTACTGTACTCGACAGTTTTTGCCCCTTGACTTAGGCACCAGGTTTTTTCTAGTTAGGACTTTTCCTGGTAAATACATCCCACAACAAACATCACACATTGCAACACCTCACACCATCAGCAGCAAGATTTACAGCAGCAAGTATGAATATTCTACCCCTTTCTGGACACCCTTGCCTTGTTAATCGGACGCCACATGAGCCGAATTAAAGTAAAGTTTGCTTCTCTCTCTTGCTTGGGTCAGAATTAAATAGCTGACAGTAAAGTAAAGTAAAACGAAAGATCTGGCTCATTGCCAGCCTTAGTAATTTCCCCTTCCCTGGCGGTTGCCTTAGGCATGCCGGGAAGACTAAATTAAAAAAAAAAAAAAATACGTTGAACTAAAATACAAAATTGTGTCTACTTTTTTCTATTAAAGCGTTGTTTTGTAAAGATGCTTTCAGGGAACATTTGCATTTTTATTGTTTCAAAATGAAGGATGTTAAGTAAATTTAACTTTAGCTACAGTTGGTGACGTCACTGGTACGTTTCAGGAGTTGATCAATACTGTGATCATGACCATTGTGCTAGCAGTGGGGACCATCTCTCAGTTATCAACTGTGGCGCCCCACTTCGGCAGTTCTTGGTATGGAGTTAACATTGCCGCCGGTGTAAGTATTCGCTGTCCAAGGTCATCTAAGGTCACCCAAGGTCAAGGTTGCATCGGCTTTCTTCTGCTAACCGCGCTTTCTGCAGGCTGTCTTATTTTTAGCTGTAGAATATCCCGGCGTCACTACGCCTCGCACCATTGTGAAGAGTAGCCAGCTAACATTGACCTTGTAGTGACCTTGACCTAGTGTTGACCCGCGTTAGCCCGACCTGAGGTCCTCTGTTGCAGGAGCTGATTAACACATGCATCTTGACGATTCTCTACGCTATCGGCACGCTCGTTCAACTAATCGTATGGCTGTCGCACGGTGCCCGATGGTACGGTTTTGGCGCCAATATTGCTGGCGGTGTAAGTATGGCGGGAAAAGGTCATTGCCCCTCAGGGGCCTACAGTGCATTGGTGTTGACCATTTGGACACTGGGAGTTGGGACAGTGTTTTGGTTTGTATATGATTTACGGTAGTTGGATGCACCTTGTATGCATTTACCTAAGTGTGTGATTTATTCCCTTTAATTTCATTTTATTCTTCACTTTATTTGAGTTGAAACTCTATTAAAGTCACTGTTTCCGAATTTAATCAGCCTGCATTGTGCTGCTGATCTTTCATAGTTGACTTTGACAAGTAGCTTACATTATATCAACGTCAATTAAAATGCTGAAGTTTTCAGTGACCATGGACCGTATCACTCAAAGCCAAAGTATTCACGAAAGTTTCAGCTGATGTTTTGAAAGGGTATGAATTCCACTCGTAGATGAATTAAATTCCCGTTTCACAGTTTTGAGATTTATGTGTCATTATCGCCCTTCACCAACCCGATAAGCTTTATTTGCAATTCTATATTTTGTCGAACGGCTATCCCGTATGCATGATACTGAGCCTAATATAGAGTAGTGCTTCTTTTGAACTATATACTCGTATGTGTATTTTTATGTGACTAATATGAGCAGTGTTACGTCATGTGTACGTTATACATACGCTTGTGCTTACCACTTGCATACCATCCGCTTGCTTTCATATGTAGGAATTACTTTGTAATTTAATGATAGATCAAGTATAAATAGTTTTGACGTGAAGAAAAAGTGATTGAAAATGCAAAGAAACTGAAAAAGCATCAAAACAACTAAAAACTAAACTTAAAGAACACAATTTTATATCTTATAATTTGTGCATTATTAAAGCTGAATTGAACGCAGAGTTGTCAGCGATCCGCCTGTAACCGCGCGTGCCGGAACCGGCTAATGCCCCTTTGTGATGTCATCGGTCCGTTCCAGGTGTTCGGTATCTTCAACACGTTGGTGTACGCGGCGGGAGCGTATCTGCTGTTCGTCGAGTACCGCCAGCCGTGAGCTGCGTGATCTGAGAGCGCCTCTGAGAGCTGCGCACCGCCACCACCGCCGTCTGTCGTCTGCCCCGCTGACCTGACCTGACCTGACCTGAGCTGAGCTGGTCTGACCTGACGTGACCTGACCGGAGCTGGGTTGGGCTGGGATGACCTGGCCTGGCCTGAGATGGCCCGACTTGATCCGGGCCGACCCGACGGTCCTGTCTGACCTGGTTTGTTTGACTGGCCCGATGTGAACTGAATTGGCTTGTTTAGGTTCTGATCTGACATGCCCTTGTTTGACATAACTTAGCTTGCGGAAATAATTTGAGCCGTATTATGGAACAGTTACATCAGTTAGGACCCTTAATTAGTATGTCATGCATATCAACATCATTAATCGTGATCAAAATCACTTGGCGAAATTTTTCCTCGCATACGACAGTTTTTGTTTTTATATGGGCGCTGGTGCTAGTTTTATACCAGAGCCGTCAGCATCGCAGTCTCCAGAACCGTTTTCGTTGATGCGCGTTACGAGTTTTACTGATGCTTGCAGAAAGCATGGAGCTGCAAATTCTTTCAGATAAAAGTAAGACAGTAGCCTAATTCGCTTCAATGCAACATGAAATTTGTTGTGTAAATGCACAGCTATAGTGACATTCAGTTCACAAGGCGTTACCTCACGTCGTAAAATTATTATCAAGAGACCGCTGTAGGGGCTCGTGGTCAGACTACGGCGAGCCAAGACTGGAACAAGTAGATTCTGTCTGACCCCCTTGGCTAGTCAGTGACAAATCTGGCAACAGGACTGGTGGTCAGCGGGGAATCTGGTAACAGCTGCGGCGGCCGGTCCCGCGTCCGTGCCAAACTCTTGTCTAACTCTTCCGGCAGCGCGCGGGCGACGCGGCGGGCAGGCGCTGTAGGGCGGAGCGGCGGCTTTAGGGCGGGGGCGGCGGCTGTAGGGCGGGGGCAGCTGGTGTCCTAACAGTGAGCCGTGTGGCAGTGTTTGTACAGATGCTCTAACATCTGATCGGTGTGAGTGTTTGCTGACGCGTTTCCTCTGAAGCTTCTTTGGTTCCTGGCGATTGTGTCCGGTTGTCAGTATTGTGGCAGTATCTGGGAAAAGCGCGGATGGGCTTGAGAGGGACTCTGTTGCAAATAACTAACCCGCTAACCAAACATGCATTCACGGTGTCACTGCCACTGTCATTGTTAAACCTTTGTCTCATGTTTGTACTAAACAGCGTTACTATCTACCTTTATTGGTCACCGAGTGTGAGCTCTTGTCAGTTAGCTTAGGTTGCGTCGTTCGCGATGGTCCGCAATCGTAGCATTTTGTAGCCGAGGTTACCTGCGTTATAACTTATTACGTGAACGAAACGTGTGGCTAGTTGGTATCATGCTTAGTGTCCCACGTTTGTTTAGAAGTCACTGTGCATGTTCAATCAAAAGAATATTGCTTTTTTCGTTGGCTAGGACCTGGCGTGTCCTTTGTTTGGAAAATATTTGGTTTGGATGTCCGTTGGGAGACGAAGCTTGGTCACGGTCACAATATATTCTTTATTTGCTTTAACAAAGCCAGTTAACAGGACGTATTCTCGTAGTACGTTGACTAGATGCTATGGACATTTGTTTGCGAAACTAGAGAATAGTGAAGCAATGCTAATACTTTCGTCATGCCTCAAAATCTAAGGACTGAGTTCAAAAGTAACGTATGCCTATTTGCAATGGTTCACGGCGTCTCAGTGTATGATGCGTTTGTTATCATTGCAATATGTCTAAGGTAAATAAATATAAACAAAACGTCTCACTAACTCACCTACAGTCAATGTGGTATTCTGTCTGACTTGATATGAGACACATTTTCACAGAAATTGTTACAACATAGACGTTAGGCGGCACGGGCGGACATCGATAGCAGCGCCTCTATCGGTCACTAGGGAAAGCTGGGCTGTAGGCGACGAAATACCGGCTGAGTTGTCACACGTTGAATAGGTTTATAGCCATCCGTCTTGTGAAAAAGTTGAACTTTTGCCTTTAATATTTCTACAGGCAATTTTAGAAGTGTCTTCACATGGATTACAAAACCGTTTAGATTATTGTATTCACTTCAAGCCTTCCCTATTGTTCTTGATGATGCGGGAACTATTTCTAATTAGTGTTTCTAGCTTAGTAAAAGAACATATTGTGCAAACGATGAAAAAAAACATAAATGGAAGATTTTAAATGCAATTTTCTCTAACAATTAATGGTAAATTCTCTACATATCAAGGAAAAGGTGCATGCTAACTGATAATTTAAAGTTCTTGGGGCCAGTTGTTTTCTTCTTTTCTTACGTCGCCCCAATGGCCGCGAATACACTTGTGATAACACCTATCGATATAAACTAAGAAGCGGAGTGATGTCGGCATGCCCAAATGCATTTTTTGCGTAAGTTATGGTCACGCCTCTTCTTGCTGCCTGAATTGAATCACGATGCCTATCGCCGGTTTGGACCGCTGACCAATTAAATGTGTGAAACTATGAGGCGATTTGGGTCTGTCAACGACAGCTCTGCATCCCACGTGGTCTACTGTCTGAGGCCCTGATTAGTGATTAAGCCCTCCATGGTCCACTGGCTCAGGTCCTGGACTCCTGATTAAGCCCGCCGGGCCGGCGCCCGACAGGTCTATTCTAGTGCACAATCAATGGCAGGACCGACAGTGTAGTGCGCGAGATAAGACCGACCACTAATAAAGGCTGGGGGGGGGGGGGGCGGGCCCACAGAGGGCGGGCTGTGATTACCTTATTACCTTCCAGCAGTGGGCATCATAGCCGGGATCTCTGATGTTATTATTGTGGAACTCTGACAGCTGATCGGAAATCGAACACAGTTCCGGCCCGGGAGCTGTTGGTATACGGCGCCAGAGGGGATTAATTAAAAATGTGTTTGTTGCATTCACTTTTTAATCTTGCACCGTGTACGTATCTTTTTGTTAATTGTTTGAAAGAGAAAGTTTAGTTCAGAACGCACCTATGAGAGCAGACTATTCTTTAGTTTGTGCGCAAAAATTGAAATTTTTATTGAGCTAACTCAGCAAACGAATGAGTAATAAAACGGGAATGTTTAATTTAAAATGCAAGACATGATAAATTTGATAGCTGGGCACAACTACTTAGGCATGCCACGTGAAATTATTAATTCCTTGCAAAACGCAGACAGCTGCTGTCTATCAGTAAAAGGGCTTCCGAGGAGTTAATAGTGTTGGAGTGAAACTGATCATCCGAACTGATAAACGGCACTACTCCAGCCAGCTTTTCCCTTCGATCTGCAATGCCCTAATGTCCCATATACCCAACGCCCAACGTAACAGCACAGCCGTACTGCAAACCGGTAACCAGCCCTTAGAGATCTGCGACCTGCGCGCCCCCTACGTCAGCTTTCGTCGCCTGCAGTCGCAGGGCGCAGCGTCAGTGAGTACTGAGTGCAGACTGCAGACCCGTGCAGGCCGGATGGAGGCAGCTTTTCACCCGCCTAGCAGCAAGCGACCTTATTTGGACGACAGACATACGCCTTCGCCGCCGCACCGAGCTACTCGCGAGTCGCGAGACGCACCTTTTCTGCTTCAGGCCGCGCCGCGAGCCGGCGAGCGGCCACCCATTCAGTAATGGGCTGGCAGCGGCGCCTGCTGCCACCTGGTGAATAAACTGAGAACTATACTATTGTAGCTCACCCTGGGACAGGTGAGAAGGAGCTGACGTGAGAAATAGATCAATGGATTTAGCTTCAATCTGGTATGTCAGTTGGTGATCGACATGTAAGTTGCTCGTGCGAGAATTCCAATCAGTAGTTAATGAGCTTGCGCTTGCATCCAGGAAACCGAAAAATATTGTTAAATAGTTTCATAAAAACCATGATTAATATCTATCAATAAATCGGTAATTATTAACGGCGATAATTGCATCGAAAGCTCCAAAGCTCGCTTAGGTGGCTTATAAAAAAATGAGACCTGTGCATCCGACAGGGAGCACCTCAGTCAGGTCAACTTGACCAACTACTGACAGTGATGTGAGCTACTTCATTTGTTCTCGCGGCGGACGGTAGCAAAAATCGTCGCGAAAGAGCACGACAAAATCATTGGAAGTAGTAATGTCTTAAAAAAGAGGATCAAGAAGCAAGCGAACAACTAGACCTCTGCGGGTGATACGACTCTCCCGGTTAGCGGCCATTGGTTTTATTTGACTTGCCGGTGTAACGTAATTCATATTGTGGTATGACAGTTTGACGTTTGTGAAAAGCGATTGTGTTCACATTATCGCTTTTCACTAACGTAATTCAGTTGACCGGTGATTGCAATGCTGAAGTGCAAAATTAGATAGACACTACTCTAACTAGCTGACGTAAATGCAGAAGCACCGCATCACACTGCTAAAGTCGGTCTCATTATCGTTTCCGATCGACACTGTGGTTGAACGCCTTCTCAAGGCCTCTTTTAGATAAAGCTCTGCTCGGTTGCGTCTCTCGGGAATTCAGACCATTGCATCGGATAATTTAACCCGCGCACCGACGGGGGTCTGCGCCAACTTCGCACCGACGGGGGGGGGGGCGGATGACCGCCCCCCCCCCCTGAGATCTCGAGAACGAAGCAAGATAGCGACAAGCGGTAAACGGCATCGGATACGCACGGCCAAGATCTACAATTTTTACAAAGGTCATTTTCAGGTCAGGTCAAAGATGACGTCACAGGGGTCGAAAAAGTCAAAATGGCGGCGCTAGACATGGAGAGTTTTTCTCGAATAACTTTCGAATTAGTCAAGATAGGAACAAACTAAGGGCATCATCGTGATCCTCTCATCAATCCGCATCGAATGATATATATGTTGACCTCGAAAGGTCAAGGTCAAAGGTTGACCTCAGGTCACGTGACCTCGAGGTCATCATGTATATCATTCGATGCGTCTTGACGAGATGAACACAATGAGACCATCCACGCGTCTGTATCTTGTTCCTGTACGGAGTTATTGGCCAACAACCTTTGGTGACCTTTGATGACGTCACATGACCTCACAGCTGCCCAACAGCAAAACAGACCTCAAGGTAGTGAAGGTTGATCGTATATGAAGTCATGTATGGTATATGGGGCCATTCCGACCCGTTTTAGTGGTAAAAACAGGGAGTTGATTTTTCCCCCATTGACTTATAATGGGGAGGTCGCGAAATTGACCTGACCTTAGGTCACCGATATCAAAATTCCGAGATATACAAATTGTAGCTACTAATGACCTAATAATATCCTGCGACTTTCAAAGGCCTCCGACATCTACTGTAGCTCTGGCACGGTGACAAAGTTGCAAAAAAGTGACTTGAGGTTGGGTCATTCAAAGTGACCTGGTGACCTGACCTTAAAAGGTAGGAGGTTCAAACTTGCACACCATGTGTAAAATTGATGAGGTTATAGTCATACCAAATTTCGCGGCGCTACGCGCCGCGGTTTTCCCGCTATTCGCGAAAAACCTCAGGGGGGCGGATATCCGCCCCCCCCCGTCGGTGCGAGGGTTAAAGGGCGGTAGGTATTCGACGCAACGCCGTATAGCTTTTTTACGATTCTTAAGTCTCTCGGATTTGGTTTTCTTATACGTTAGGTACGGTGCAAAGTACGTATTCGCTTTGAATTGATTATTTCCAGCGTAAGACAGCGTCACAGTTAGCCGGATAGCTGAAGGTGTCGAACGTTTTGGACACTCGTTATAACCCTATTAGTGGCAGGGGGGGGGGTTGTTTTTATCCACCCCTCAGGTTTTTCGGGAATATCTCCGAAACCGCTGAAGCTACGATGCTGAAATTTTCTGACTTTTCCTAAAACTAAATTGGGCACATTCCCTGAAAATTTCAAGTTCATAACTTTACCAGGGGCGGCTCCAGGGCATTGGGAATTGGGGGGTCCTATTCGTGAAGCGAGTCATTTGGGCGAAGATCACGATGCTGCACCAGTTTTACGAACAGTAAATGAAAGATATCATGTGATAACATATACAAAGTTATTGTGCATCCTCTTTTGACACGTTTTTGCTATAATAGGCGGATCCAGGCGTCCAAAAAGGGGGGTTGTTTTTTTACCTCCCAACATAGGTACCCTGACACCGCCTATGCATGACCAATACAATTTTAGTCGTTCTCTCATAAGAAAATTGTAACATAACAAGACCATTGCCACCCTTTTTAGAAACAGTACCAACAAAAACCTTATTTACTATACTTTTTGTGTACCCCCAATCTCAATGATCTGTATCCGCCTATGATTTTTGAAAATGCATATTTTTAGGATCCATGTGAATTCCTGGTTCATTCTCTATCGATCGGCGAAAGTTGCGTTAAGATTGGTTCAGAAACCTGGCCGTGATAAACAGTCTAAAATGTATCTGCAATTTGCCCTTTTTTACCCCCCTCTACCCCCCTATTGACATTTTTTAATTTTATTTTTTTAGAAATGTAGATCTCGTTGAGCCAAATCGAATGCCGTTTGAATTTTGAAAATCGGCCCGTTAGATCTCGAGATATCAAGGGGGGGTCGTAAACAGCCCCCCCCCCCTGCCACTAATATGGGGTAGCCAGGAGCCTGCCACTAATAGGGATAACTAAATGCTCGCTATAAAAATCAACGCAATGTTATCACATGACTTAATTACGTGATAAATCGATAAAAAAATCAATTAATCTATGGTTCAATGAGCTTGATTAAAAAAAAAACAACTGTTTTAAATTGAACTTTATTTGCCTTTCATTGGATCGAACATGGCGTAGTTGTGCACTTAAAGGGACCCTCCCACCTTAACATTAGTTTTGAGTTGAGATAGCCAAATTGGTGGCCATGGCCTGAAAATACCGGTTTGGGCATTCACAACATCGAAAAATGCTTTAATTCGGAGATATGGAATTTCAAACTTGCAGTTTTCGGATTCTAAGGGGCTAATGCATTGGTATGCCCCCTTAGAATTTGTGACGTCAGCGGAGATCTAACGATTTTTAAATCTTTTACTAAAACGTTTGGCAGCACGCGGTGGTATATGCTGCTTTGCGCGCAACAAATGCCGCACTTTCAAATAAAGTCGCTAGGAACAGCGGAGATCCCAAAAAGTAAACAAAAGTAAAAGTCTTATATCTTGAAAACCGGTGAATATTTTTCGATGAAATTTGGTAGATATTCATTTTTGCTCTTTCTGAACCGAGCGACATCACTTTCATGCCAATTCATTAACTTTTTTGAAGGTGGGAGGGTCCCTTTAAAGCGATACGACAGCCTTTAAAAAAATCCTTAAATAGTAGGCGCAATGCCCGAACCCTATCAATAATTTCGATATTTCAGCATAAATGGCATTGGCCATATGGTGATGCAAAGTAAGAACTAAGAATGACTTTGGTATCCTAAAATGAGCCACTGGACCCTTACGGCCATGAATTTTTAAGTGTCCCTGTGGCCTGTACCAAAAGTGACACATCTTACAAGTAAGCTTATGTGCGATTGAGCCCTTTCCAGTTTTCCACCGTTTACTTGCTGTTATGTCGCGATTTTGGAATTCGTGCTTTAGCCTTTCCGATCCCATCTCGAGGGTTTTGTTCCATCATATCCGTATTTATTCGCCGCAATGTGCCCTGCTCCGTCATTATGGCTTCCCGTGGTGTAATAATAGCGTCATCGGGCTGACCAGGTGCGCCACCGCCGGAAGATCCGTCTCGCCTGGATGCTCCTACCCCTACTCCAGGCTAATTGGAATGTGGCTCGGTTGTACCGCGCTTGGACGCTCCATGCACGGTACGATCCCTGACAGAGGTCACGCTGTGGTGGCCGATCTCTAGCACCCCTTCGAGGGGTGGCGATGGCAGGTGGCGTGACCCAGACGCGTCTGGAGTGTCGGTGACTCACTGACCTCGGCCCTGTGCCGTCGGTGACAGGGGGTTCGTCCAGCCGCGGTCGACCTGGCAGCCGCGGCCGCCGCGGCACCGCTGTCAGAGACCGTACAGGGGCGGTGGCCGCGGCGCCGGGCCTAGTCAGAGCGCGCGCAGGCGTGGAGGAGGGGTGTAGTCATAACGCGCGTCCTGGAACGGTCGATCGGCACGCCCCCATCGCCGTAGAATACGTCAGTGCGTCCTCGGGCGAGGTTTCTTCTCCAGGTGAGTCCCTTGAGCGCGTGGCTTGCCGTCGCGCCGGCAGTGTCGGTGTCCTTGTAGCCAGCGACGGGAAGCGGCGAGCGCTCACCTTTTCAAATCACCTGTTGGTAGCGTCCCTGGCGACGTCGCGGCGTCGGGCTAGCGTCGCTCAGCAACGGCTCGACAATGCAACGCGTGACCACCGGAACCGGCTTCCTTTGTTGGGGCCGGTGGGCACAGGGGAGGGTCATGCGTTGGGGAATATTGAGCGTCATACACCGCTCCCGTGTCCGTGGGCCGTGGCTGTAGCGGAGCTGGCTGACCGCAGTGCCGTTCCACGAAGGAGGCGAATCATCGCCGAGTGATGCGGTTCATGGGAACTCTGTCTACTAGTGGAGAATCTGGTGGCTGCCTGCCATGCCGGCGTGGGGTTTCCTGGCGACTGGCTAGCAGTTGATTTAATCTCCTATTTTATCACCGGCTACAGAAATGATTTCGCACTTCTTTTTGCACCGAAACGTTTACCCCAAATATCTTGATTATTGAAAATTTCGTTGTTCCTCAGTTATGTGAGATCTGTACTCCGTAGACCTCTCACATTGACCTCTGGGCCCAGAAGTCACCATCCTGTCCTGTTAGGTTTACTGCAAGCTCGAAGTGTGCACTTATACAATATACCTTGATACATACATTGGTCTCTCTCGCCCTGCATGTTCTATTGATTGATTCTGTCAATATACTACCGCGTTGACGCTCAGCACAGTCGCGTGTCCACAAGGACAGCCACTACAGTTTTCCTTTCCTTCTTCGACCACCGGCTATAGTATACAGCGTGGCCCGACAGTAACACTTTTGTTAGGCGTGAGCAGTTGGCTCGATATGGAATAAGCTAAAATCTAGATCAACAGCTCTTTTGAAGCAGGGCGAAATACAGTTTACGGGTATAAAATGAGTGGAATGGTGTCGAATGGTGTCGGTATGCTGGCCTTGCGATACATGGCGGGTAATGTTACCGTATCACGTGATTCACCGGGAGAGGTGACCACATGACCCAGTGACCTTTTGAACTACGAAGCAAGTGAAACTGACCGGCTATACCTACGTTTTGCCGATGTGCGACGAATGTACCCGACTTGCCCATGTTTGTAGATAGATATTCCTGTAATTAATATTTTTTGCATCAAGTTAGCCTGAAACTGAAACAAAACATAATAAATATTCCTCCTAAGTGGTAACTGCATTTTCGATTTGCTATGAATAACTCAGGATATATTTGTCTAAAAATGGATGAAACGTCCCGCCCCACGTTGCAGGACCACCATCTAAATAAATCACTCGGTTCGATGTTGTTTTAGTGACCATTCGGTTCATACCCCACCTTTGACATCCAGCACCCGTGCGGTGAGCTCCAACAGTCCAGTATGAACCAGTTCTGTCGTTGATAAGTGTCTTCCGTCTCCGTGGCCTACTTGGCAGTAGTTCGTGGGGCCGGTGATCTGATGTAGCTTCGACATCTTCCTGAAAGATCACAGACCTGAAAGAAGGCCCCTTTACCGCCGAGACCGACCCACTTAGGGGAGGAGGTTGTAGTAGCATGGCTGTTCGCGACGACTTCAAGCTTAGTTGTATAAAGTCTCGTGCTTTCGTATGTTACAGCCGGACCCGGGACCATGGCCACATGGTCAAACTGTAATAATGTAACATAGCTCGACTGAATACTAGATTGACCTTGACGGGGCTGCAACAGACCGTGATGGTTCCCTTTGAATAGTTTCGGAGTCTAGAGCATTATTCTACGGCCTAGCTATGTGTCTGATCAGTGAATTTCACGTCGAGACATTGATACGACGTGTCTTTTTGAAAAGCGTTATCTGATTCATACCTAACCGACCCGACCTCCTTGGCCCTCCTTTTGGACCCGTCTCCTCCGCCATGCCCATTTATGGTCAGCGCTGACCCACTGTTGCGCAATGTGGTGAGGTGACTCGTCGGGTCGTTTTTGCCTCTCCCTTCCCCTCTGACCCTCTCCCCTCCCCTCCTTCCCTCTCCCTACCCCTCCCTCTCTCCGCCTCACCCCACCGCATGCAGTGCACGTAGCGTAAAACGGTCGACCCTGACCTTTGTGTCTGAAGCTCGCTGTTCCACTAACCGAGCACCTGGGCCCAACCAACTGAGTGTCAAACCACGCTGGACAGTGGGTAGCCAATGGGCCATGACGACTAATGGGGCCATGACTGGCACTCTTTTAGCTCGATTCGCCGGGCTTGTGGCGTGTGTGGCGAGTACGATCACCCATGGATTGATTCTGCGTTTTGAATTGACGTGGTTTTGTTCGTGAGTAATCAGCAAAGCGTCGATTTGACGTCAATATTTAAATTAACCCGCGCCCCAGTGGCGGTCTCAGCCAACTTCGCCGTAGTGGGGGGGGGGGGGCATATGTTACCACCCACCTCTAACTCAAAAACTAAGAGGGCTAGAAAGACGCGGTAAAAAGCAATCGATAGCTCTCAATGCGTACGTTTGAAAATATTATTTCGGTCATTTTTCATCTTAGAGCAATATTGGGGTCACTGGAGGTCATCAAAGATCAAAATTTGCCAAATGTCATTATAGTTCTCCGAAAACATGCATTTATCCCAGGAACTATGATAGCTAGAAAAAACGCATGGAAGAGCAATCGATAGCTCTTGAACTCTTCTTTCGATAAGGTCATCATCAAAATTGACCTCAGGTCAACGGTTTAGCCTCCAGAGGGCAAAAACTCAAAAAATAGCTGTTTTTACGAAAAGTGTTTTTCGACAATAACTGTTGACTAAAAAAAGCCACGACATTTCTATTGCCAGAATCGTGTTCCTCTCGCCGAGACGCATCGAATAAACTATAATTTGACCTTTCAAGGTCAACTTGAAAATTTGACCTCAGGTCAAGGTCATGACCTGACCGGAAAAGGTCATGTTGCATATCAGTCGATGCGTCTCGGCAAGACAAACACAATGAGACCATCCCCAGCGTTCTATCTCTTTCCAATCGAGAGTTATTGGCAAAAATATGTTTGTAGCCTCTAATGACCTCGGATGACCTTTCTAGAGGCTATCAGCAAAAACGACACCTTGGTCGTCACGGGTGGTCCAAATCATTGTGATTCTGAAATATTTGGACTGTTCCTATGCGTACACACGGATCTAGAGGCATTTTCATTTTTCTCCACTGACTTATAATGGTAAGGTCACGCCACTGACCTGACCTTAGGTCACGGATATAAAAAAATCCGAGATATACAAATTGTAGCGCCCGTAACATCATGCAATCCACCAAGTTTGAAACCTTTCTGACAAACACTGCAGGCTGGACATGATTGCAAACTTTTTTAGGCTTGGTCAGTTAACTTGACCTGGTGACCTGACCTGACATGACCTGGGGTCAAAAATTTCACACATTGTCCAAAATTAATGTACAAAAAGCTACCCCAAGCGGCGCGCAGCGCCGCTTTGGGGTCATTTTTCTCCATTGACTTATAATGGTAAGGTCACGCCACTGACCTGACCTTAGGTCACGGATATAAAAAATTCGAGATATAAAAATTGTAGGCGCCCATAACATCATGCAATCCACCAAGTTTGAAACCTTTCTGACAAACACTGCAGGCTGGACATGATCGTAAACTTTTTTAGGCTTGGTCAGTTAACTTGACCTGGTGACCTGACCTGACATGACCTGGGGTCAAAAATTTCACACATTGTCCAAAATTAATGTACAAAAAGCTACCCCAAGCCGCCGCGGTTTTTTATTCACACGCGAAAAACGCGACAGGGTGGTAACATATGCCCCCCCCCCCCCACTGGGGCGAAGGTTAAATAGCAGATGATGTGGTGCTTTGAATCTAAAAATGGTTATTCCGGTGGTTGATTTACTTTGCATGAAGTTATTATGCAGTTGTGCTTAGCATTAGACAGACAATTATTGCCACAATCACACACGCATCGTTTATGTTTGGGCCCAATTATGTAGCCTCAACTTATACACCTTTTTGCACTCAAAATAGGCATCTTTTCATTCAATTTCGGCAAATTGCATTCAATTTCAGCGATCTCTCATTTGCTTTGAATAGAGAGATCGCTAAAATTGAATGCAATTCGCCGAAATTGAATGAAAAGATGCCTATTTTGAGTGCAAAAAGGTGTACTATCTTTTCCCGGCTTACCCACAAGAGTGAGAAAGGCTATCACCATGAGACGGCCTCCTCCAGTCTAGTGGGGCGCTTGTAGTATGGATATCTCACAACTAATCCGTCTGTCATGCCCTTGCAGGGGTGACAGCGGGCCAGACAACTTCCACTCGCTGTTGGCAGTGCAGCCTGCAGGAAGTCGTGCCCCCGTCGAATTCCTGTCCTGAGATAAATTGCACGTCGTTTCCGTCAACTGATGCGCCGTGTCCCCATCACGAATTTGCCGTAGATGATCAGTTATCTCCAGTGGCATCTAGACATCAGGGCTGTTAGCCTGAATCAGATCATTACAATTGAAGGAGGTCGCTCAATGATGTTTCAATTTCCGGTAGCGACTTTGCTAAGCCATTAATAATCAGCTGTTAATGATCTGCAAGGCCAGGACTTATCGCGGATTGGTGGTGATGGAACTTTTTAAATTAAAATCTACTTATAGTTGCTCGGTACTTCATTATTCCTGCCAATATTTTTCTAGACCACGTGTCTCTTGGATTCACCTGAATCAAGGTATCAACGTTAGCATATGTGCAATGAATTGTAAATGTTCACTTGATCCGCACAATCTAGTGCCTGTTATATCCACCACAGCCCTTCTGCAATGCAGGGGTCGAGTGGAAGGGGCTGTGTATGAACGGGCACGGAGTCTATTTGCAGCGGGCCAACTCGCGTCAGCCCGCACGGGCGTGTTGCAACATCGGACGGGCAACATGTGCACGCCCTCTGGTCGTTGCGCTCTGCAAATTACTAATTGCGAACTCTGCTCGTACTTAAGCGTAGCTGCTGACCTGCCGTAAAGCAA